TTTAATTAATTTTATTTATATTTATTCTCTTTTCTCCAATTAAGCATTATTTATTGTAATATTTTAATTTCAAATATGATATAAATATTTTAATCAAATTGATACAATTTACTTAAAATTAATAATTAAAAGCAAGATTTAACATATTTACATATTTTCCACATTAAACATTTCGAAAAAAATAATTTTCAAAATATTATATTAAAAATATGATCCTTCCTATATAATTATATTATCTCATCAAAAACGAAATTGCTATACTCTTAATCTGCTTGACTTCGATTATTAATATGATTCAGAGGGAGAAGTATCACTCAAAAAAATGTCTTGCTGATATAGGTAGATTTCTAGGTGTCACAGCAAAAATTTATCGCTTGCTGATATAGGTAGATTTCTAGGTGTCACAACAAAAATTTATCGCTATTTTTTGTATCTGTTAGAATATTGTCTGTTACATATAGAATTTATAGCAGCAATATTCTAATAATATCTTCTAGAAAATTTAGGTCCCATTGCCAAATGTTAATCACTGCATTGGATAAATATGAGTTTCGATACTACAGCTAGAACGATCTTTGTGAGAAATATAACTGCCAATTATAACTGCAGCATCGAAAAATTGAGAGAAATTGTTTAAAAGAGCTAGATAGATTGGGCGCATTATACAAATATGTTATATGTGAGGATTATATATTCATTTGTTTCTTGCCGCTAATCTTTTCTGTGTACCACAGTCAAACTTTATAACAAGTATGATTGGCCTTACATGGATAGGCGCCACAGAAAAACATTCTTTCTAAATTTCACAAACAGTTCAGATATAAATTCTGTCTCTGTGACTTAGATTGATTAAATGCGAAACATATGCGATATCACAGTATTTGCTAATCATTTATGTACCTCAGTTAATTTTGCACACCCAGAAAATTTTTGCTGTAGTTGCAATACCACTTTTTTGAGTGATTGTTTCCGAAATAACCCTCTACGCATCGTTCAACTGAGCTACTAAATCTCTCAGGCGTTAATGCTAATTTTAACGACACGTACGAAGCAATAGCTTAAGCGACATTAATTATACGCGAATGCC